AAATTAAAAGTTGCGCTTCTTTCCCAGCATAGCTTAAAAAATAAAAATCTTTATTTAGGTAAGAAGATAATAACCCAGCTGCTTGTATCTTATGTTGCAGAGGATGTCCTCAAATGCATTTATCCCCTTCAAAGAAATGTGTGAGGGAGAGAGAAAATAAGTACAGTCGTACCTTGGATCTCAAACGCCTTGGCTCCCAAACAAATCGGCTCCCGAACGATCGAAACCCAGAAGTGAGTGTTCCGGTTTTCAAACGATTTTTGGAAGCCGAACATCTGGTGCAGCTTCCGTGGCTTCCTGCAGCCAATCAGAAGCTTTGGTTTCCAAACATTTTGGAAGTCAAATGGACTTCTGGAACAGATTCCATTCTTCCAAGGTACAACTGTATGTATGAATGTACATCATGCCCACTAGCATCCTCGACCCTCCCACTGCCTAGGGTTCACCTACCTCAGAGGAAATACACACACACACACACACACACACACACTCCCTGCTTTATGAAACCTACTTTTCCCCAACCCCTACAAACAGCTGTGTTTGAGATCTCATGAGGAAACGTGAGTAAGGTTAAGGTAAGCCATACATAAATATTGTTGGCTGAATGAGTATACACAGCCCTTCACAATGTTTTTCCCTGAAAATCCAGGGATAGTCATGAGTGATTGATTGTACAGTGAAAAGGGAAACATGCAAATGCATCCAACTAAGTTTTACTCAGTCAGTAGACTTATTGACATTGAAAGCCACTAGAGCCAATAGAGCAGATCCTCTTGAAATTGGCTCCCCCCCCCAGGTCCCCCGCCCAGTACAGATCACATTTGTTTCCATTGGCTTCCATGGTGAAAATAAGAATTCAAGAGAATTTTAAATTCTACTGCATCTGACTTTTACCCAAACTCTGTGCACATGCAAACTGACTGATACATGGGGGAAAGAAGCAACCAAAAGTGTGGCGTCCCCAGCAGTCTTTCAAAATTGCAAACATACCTAGAAACACAAAAAAGACAGCAACACTTGTGCTAAACTATGACTTAGAATAACGTCCAAATACAGTGGACACTCGGGTTGCGAACGTGATACGTGCGGGAGGCACGTTCACAACCTGTAGCGTTCGCAACCCGCAGCACCATGTCTGCGCAAGCGCGGGTCGCGATTTGGCGCTTCTGCGCATGCACGAGCGCCAAAACCCAAAAGTAACCCATTCTGGTACTTCCGGGTTCAGCACGGTGCACAACCCGAAAACACGCAACCTAAAGCGTCTGTAACCCGAGGTATGACTGTATGGCCTATGACTGTATAAAAAAGTAGATTCTGAACTGTAACCATTTACAAAGTAAGGTTCTGGGATAAGTTCTGATACGCTAACTTCAATACTGAACACTCAACACCTGCATGTGTATACATATTTTTTCAAGAAATCATAAAATATTAAGTGAGAAACATTGTTCAATTTGCTACTTTTCAGTGTAGTACTGTCCACAATGTCATTTTCAGAATTCTAGTACCCCACATATGTTTAGCAAGAATCCTCTGTAGTTACGGCCTCTTCTTATATCTGCATTTTGCAAATCGCTGGCTCATACAAGCTGCCTTCACATCCCACTCACTACTTCACCTATCTGTGTTAGGCTGCTTCTTTATAATGTTCTGTAAAAATACATGCATTGCACTTCAGATATGAAGGGTGCACACATGTATAAATCACCCCCTTTTCCTTTAAAAGCATGCATGAGTAGAGCAGAAAAGACAATGTTTCTACTTGCATATGTTGCAAATGAAAAAGCAGTGCATGCATATACTTATGTGGGAGTATAAAATGTCATTTAGAAGCAGCAGGCTCACTTCAGCACATACATTAACTCTTCAAAAATTGGTGCAAGTGCTGAAGATCCTTTCAGTACTCACTCGGGCTACAAATACCATGCATACTTACCTAAAAGTAATCCCCACTAAACACTGTGATCCTTACTTCAGAGTAAACACACAGAGAATTAAGCCACATATCTGAGAACAGTTTGCACAACAGAGGAAATCTGTTCCAATTAAACTGAAATCTAATTTCTCCATCTGTAAATTCCCTTTTTTGCTTAGTTAAGTTGCACTCAAAACAATATACATGGGCTAAAGACACATTCAGGTTATTTTAGTCTTGCTTTCTTTAAAAAACCAGGCCCATATCACAGCGAAAACTATGGCTGCAAAGTGGGGGTTTTAAGTGATTTTGAAGTTCTCATTTTCCCAGTAATTCCTGGGAGGAAACCTAGTTTTCAGTGGTCCATCCATACCTTATCACAATCTTTTATCCATGTTTTGGCTTAGAATTACATGTGAACTGAGCAAGATCTATCTTCCACTCTGGTCCTTATTAGTTACCCACCTTACATCATGTAATATAACAATTAAGTATCAAAAATCTGACAGAAAAATATCTCAGCTGAAGAAGTATTGTTACCAGAACTATATGGAGAGAAAGCTTTAATATGCACAGTTGGCTAAAATTTCTATCATTATATCAGACTCTATGTTCCTCTGCAAACAATACTTCTTTAACCTTCTGCAAGCCTCAATAAAATTCTCCAAGGCTATGATATCAGGGGGCGATGATAATTGCTCTCGCCACATCACACCACCATTTCAGCAAAGCCTGATCAGAAATTCAATCATCTCCAGGTCAAATGCCAGAATATTTTCCATCATTATTAAAACTAAAAGCAAAAAATCCTGCAAGCCTACCCATTCCCACCATGATGCAACATGGCAAAAAAGATCTCATTCATCCTGTGCTATAAAAGAAAAACTTTTGCTTAGTTCAGACCATTAGCTATATTACGCATAAAGGACACCATGGTGAAACCATGGTACGTGCACCAAGGCAGATCAACTACAAACGCTCTCTGAACACACAGAGATAACCCAATTAATAGGTCTGGTCATTCAAATAATGCAAATGAATCAATGCATTTGTGGCATTGTAAATGCTCCACCCTTCCCTTGTTCTTCAAATAATACGCTAGAAGATACAGAGAAACATTCTATAAATGTCTTTTACTGTTTCTTGGTCTCTCCTCGAGAACTTGCTATACTTACATCATGGATACACTTATAAGGAAACGAATTCCAAGGTTTCACAACTCTTACATGCCCCAAGCTATGTTATTTTTCAAATCAAAAACAGGTTGCAGAATGCACTTGTTGTAAAGTGACCTGACTATGCTGAGAGAAAATAAATTTGCCTTTCTTTTCTTTGACCATTCCTTTACATAAAGCTCAGAAAGCTTAGATTCATTAGAACGAGTTGGAAGGCAATGCAGACTTCAATAATAAGATAACAGGTACGTGAATAAAACCTAGGCATGTACTGAAGCAACAGATGCAGTTTCACAATGCCCACTTGAAGCAAAATCACCTGCATTCAGTTGTTAGCCATATCCGATTTCCCTTTTAATCAGCAATGCGTGGAAGACAAGCTGTCATTATGCCATTATTTATCATTATGCCATTATTTATATTTGGAACTTACACATATACATCCATCCCTGTGCCTTTGGAGATCTACTACTTATTTGCCTTGTCTTTCCTCAGCATCTTTTCACTATGCAGTCATTGACATGGCAGCTTCATTGAAAAATCTTTGAAAGACAAAATGCCAGTCAGCAGGCAGAGAGCTGCTGAATTGTATCAATGTGACATTTTAATGACACTGCATACCATGCAATAATATGAGAATTAACTGTATCACCTCTCTCCTGCAAGTGTGCATGAAAGGCTGGTGTGGCGAGGATGCAATTTAAAATACTGTACATGCAACCTAAGCTAGGCCAACTGCCTGTTTGAATATTAAAGTATAATTTCAGCACGCAGCATGTTTATTCAGAAGGAAACTCGGTTGGTTTTTTCCTTCTCCCCAAGACACAGCAGAAATACCAAAATGCTAACCCACCCAGATGCAAGTAACCTCAACTACCACATCACAGGAGGAGCCCTGAAGATGCAGCTTAACATCATCACCTCCAGAACAATGTTGCCCGCTGAATATTGGGCAGTCTGGTGGCTTGGGAGTCTGAATTACAAGATCAACTAAAATCTCCTTATTCTGAGCATACTGTGATATTCTTAGCAGAGGAGGAGGAGGAGGAGGAGGGGAAGAAGGCAGTCCTTTATGAATGCACATCTGGCCACCACCTATCTAGAAGGAGCGACACATTGTAAGGGGAAAAGGTCTGTTCTCAAATCATTTCACAGCAGCATCTGCCAAGAATCGTGTGCGCATTCACACACACACACACTTAACAAGCGCAGCATGAGCACAAATCACTCCACACAACGCTGCAGAACGAGAAGCGTTTCCTCGAGGCTCTTAATCCCACGGTCGTGGGTTCGAGCCCCGCGTTGGGCAAAGGATTCCTGCGCTGCGGGGGGCTGCGGTGGGTGGGCTAGATGACCCTCGTGGTCCCTACCAGATCTACGATCCGAAGGATCCCACAGCTTCTGGGAGCCGCGAGCAGCATGGGAGGGTCACCGGGAGGGCAAAAAAGGGAACCCGTCCCCATGTATTATTATTATTTCTCTTGTGAACCGCACCGATATTTTTTTGATGAAGGGCGGGACAGAAATCTAATAAATAAAAATATTCATACCCCGCCCATCTGGCTGGGTTTCCCCCCCAAAAAATGTCCACGGGCTTGCTCCACTGTTGTTTAAAAAAACCCCACACACAACGCGGGGCTGAGCCTGCGAAAGCGAGCATCTCTCCCGGCGCCCAAGATATGCCGAGGCGGCCTCTCGCGCGGACATCCCGCCGCGACACGCGTGTCGCCCTTTCCCACGACCGCCCAACCCCCGCACTCCGGGTTCCAGGCCTCCAGAAGCACGAAACGGAGGACGCCCCGAGATTTCCCCTCAGCAAGGGGCGGCGGGGTGTTTTTTTTTGGGGGGGGGTGGAGACCAGACCCGTTTGGGGGAAAGGCGCGCCCCCGCCCTGACACGTAACGCCGTACCTGTATGTAGTTGGTCTCGCAGTACTCGGCGACCCGCTCGAGGTTGGTGTAGCTGTCGAAGAGGGCCCGGCGCCCCCCGGGGATCTCCTCCTCCAGCAGCATCTGCAGCTCCGCCATCTTCACATGCTCGCGCGCTCCGTCCCGCCCCTCTTCCCTCGCCTCCCCCCCCCCTCAACCCCGCGCCTCAGTCGCGGGGACGGACAGCCGCCCCCTCCCCTCTCTTCTCCACCTCACCCCCCACCCACACACACACCACTTGCGACGGACGCCCTCCGACGGCCCCCGGCCGCGGCGCCTCACGCTCTTTCCCCTCGCCGTGAGAGAAACACCCACCGGCCAGGCGTCGGCGGAGGCGCGGCGCAACCGGCCAACAGCGGCGGACGCCACTGCGCAGGCGCCGGGGGCTTCCACAACGGCTGCTCCTCCTCCCCCTCCCTCTCTCGCGCGCTCTCTCGCTCTCCCTCGCTCACGCGCACGCGCGCATGCTCCCCGTTTCCCTCACACGCAAACTCCGCCTTCCGCGGTCTCGCGCCGTTCGGGCCGCTTCCGGTGTCCCCGTGTGCCCCGCCCCCTTCTCCCCCCCCCCTCTCGTGTCATGGCGGCCTGGGGGGAGAAAGGCTTGGTGGGTGAGGGGGGAGTTGGGGGGAGTGGAGTGAGGAATGGGGTGAGGGATGGGGTGGGGTGTCTCCTATGCCCACACATCCCCTTGTGTGGGGAGAAAGGAATAGTGGTGGCTGGAGAGGAGGTGAACTGGACGCCACAATTCCATCCTGCCTCCCCCCAAATAATAATAATAATAATAATACAGTGGTACCTCAGGTTACATACGCTTCAGGTTGCATACGCTTCAGGTTACAGACTCCACTAACCCAGAAATATTACCTCGGGTTAAGAACTTTGCTTCAGGATGAGAACAGAAATCGTGCGGCAGCAGTGGGAGGCCCCATTAGCTAAAGTGATACCTCAGGTTCAGAACAGTTTCAGGTTAAGTACGGACCTCCAGAACGAATTAAGTACGTAACCAGAGGTACCACTGTAGTAATAATAAATAAAAAATTCAGCCTCCATATCTCTTTTTCACAACATCCATTTTCTTTTGTTTCAGAAATACTGAGGTCTCAAATAGAGAATAAACGTTGATCACTGCACAAGGCAAATACACATAAGTAAGTACAGTCATACCTCCGGTTGAATGTGCTTTGGGTTGTGCTCCATGGCAACCCAGAAGTAACTGAGCGCGTTACTTCCGGGTTTCGCCGCTCGCGCATGTGCAGACGCTCAAAATGACGTCACGCGCATGTGCGGAAGCGGCAAAACGTGACACGCGCAGACGCGCCGTCGTGTCTTATGTTCCATTCAGGATGCGAACGGGGCTCCGGAACGGATCCCGTTCGCATCCCAAGGTACCACTGTATAGAAACCACACGCCTAACATAGCACAGGAGAGCAATCCAAAAGTTTTGACCTATGAAGCCTTAAACGGCTCCAGACCGCAATACCTCAGGGGCAATACCTCTTTCCATAGGAACCTACCCAGACCCTGAGATCATCATGAGGCGCTTCTTCGTGTGCCTCCTGAAGAGGTCCGGAGGGTGCCAACACGAGAACAGGGCCTTCTCTGCAGTGGCTCCCCGTCTGTGGAATGCTCTCCCCAGGGAAGTTTGCCTGGCGCCTTCATTATACACCTTTAGGCGCCAGGCAAAAATGTTCCTTTTTAACCAGGTCTTTGGTTGATTTGATTGACATCCTATGCCCTTTTAAAATGGTTATTGGGTTGCTGATTTTATTTTGATTATATATTTTGTAGTTTTATATTTTGATTTTGTTCTGTGAACCACCCTGAGGGCAGTATATTATTATTATTATTATTATTAATAATAATAATAATAATAATAATAATAACAATAATAGTAATAATAATGCCATCTTGGCTCTCCTAAAGACTCTCAATATTTCCCCTGCCTCCTTAATCCCCCTTGCCTGAGAACAGGTAGGCAGATAGCAATTAAGGGAACTTTCTGAAGGGATTCCTCTCCTATATCTATATCCAGATGTTCTGCTTTGAGGGATGTCCGATGGTCATCCTGATGGTCTTATCAAATGCTAATGTTTTGTGTACACTGTGTCTAGAACTTTGTGAAACTTGCTAAATCCTCAGGAATATCACACCTTGGCCTGCCTGAGCCACGGTAACCCCACCTTGTGTGTGATGTAATTTCTGACTTGTAGAGGGGGTGTCCTCCTTCTCCACGCCAAAATGCAAACCCTGAAAAGAGATGTTTCTTCTTGGTTTGGGGTCTCTCTTGCCTCCTTGCTAGGAGGGGAGAGAACTCTGTTGGCAACAGAAAAATAAAGATCTGCCTTGCTTTCACTGCATCCTGCCTCCATCCCTTCATCTCTGACAGATCCTGGACTTAGGGGACTCAGTCCCTTGGGGAGTTGGGCAGCAAAAGCCAACCACCCTTATTTTTCTATATCACTTTCATTAATTTACCGTATTTTTCGCTCTATAAGAGGCACCAGACCACAAGACGCACCTAGTTTTTGGAGGAGGAAAACAAGAAAAAAAATATTCTGAATCTCAGAAGCCAGAACAGCAAGAGGGATCGCTGCGCAGTGCAAGCAGCAATCCCTCTTGCTGTTCTGGCTTCTGGGATAGCTGCGCAGCCTGCATTCGCTCCATAAGACGCACACACATTTCCCCTTACTTTTTAGGAGGGAAAAAGTGAGTCTTATAGAGCAAAAAATACGGTATTTATTGAATTTTTATACCGTCCTATAGCCAGATGTCTTGAGGCAGTTCACAGAACAAAATCAAAATATAGAGCTGTGATATACCTAATCAAAATATAGAGCTGTGATATAACTAATCAAAATAAGAACGATAACCCAATAACATTCCTCACAAAAAAGAACCACATTTTAAAGGGGCATATGTGTTGCAAATGAGGCTATTTTTCTTTTTCGCCCTTGGCACACGGCCTTTAACCAGCACACAGCGTTCTGGAACCCAATCTATTGTTTAATGGGTCATTTACTTACTTGCTGTTGTTGTTTTTCAAAAATGCATTGTTATCTATAAGCCATCCTAATTTGAGAATTGTACATAGTACCATAGAATTGTAGAGGGACCACGAGGGTCATCTAGTCCAACCCCCTGCAGTGCAGGAATCTTTTGCCCAACATGAGGCTCAAACCAACAACCCTGAGATTAAGAGTCTCGTGCTCTACCGACTGAGCTTTTTTATTTTTAAAAGGGGAAACCCACAAAATTTATGGCTGGGTAAAAGATTTATTGCAGGATAAATGTTTGGGGACCAAATGTGTGGCAAGTCTTGCCTGGAACTAGGCTCTAATCCACAAAAAGCTTGTGCCGTAATAAATCTGTTAAAATTCACAGTATTTATTGGTTCTTGCAACAGACTAATGCGGCTACCCCTCTGGAATCTTGACTGGAAAGATTGCTTCAGCTATTATTTCCAATAAACATATATTCACCAGCCCCAATATGCTAGGTGCTGTCTCTGGGCTTCTTACCAATTTCTGAAGGGAGACTAGGATTCTTGCAAAAGACTGCTAGATTTGGTCAGCCTTTGTCTGATCCAGAACAGCACTTTTCTTGTTCTTAAACGAGAGTGCTCTTGGGAATACATAACATAGATTTTGCCTTAACTGAGCACACAATCTTGCTTTGTTAATTTAAAACATGTCAGTGGATCACAAGGGCTCTATTAATAAGGTAGACCACACAAGACTGAAGTCAGCCTGTCCCTCCTGTACGAAAGGTAATCTTATGCATACTTACTTAGAAGCAAGCCCCACTGGGGAGAGTGGGAATCAATGCTTTTAATTTATTTTTATTTTTATAATGTGTTACGTTCCATGGGTAGCTAACAGAGTTGTAATCCTCTCGTTAAAATCAACAGGACTTCATCATGCTTAACTTTGGCTAGATCATGCCCAATGTTTGAAAACCTTTGCACAGTGGAGGCTTAAAAAATAATCATAAAATTGACTAGAATATAAATTGATGTAGCTACTGTTGAGAGTAGTTAAAACAAGAATTGTGAAATACCTATTACTGTCACAAAGATAAATGACATTTGGAATACTGATGATCTCTTTGTAAAAATACGTATGCAGAGAAATAGCATCCCGCTGAATAACTCCTCTCATATTGCACATTAGCCTTCCTGGATTATAATTTCAATCATTAAACCTACTGAAAGCCACAACAAGGCCAAACTCCCTGTTTAGAGTTTAGAAAAACAAATGCATCTTTTTCCTCTGGAGAGACGGTAACAAGCAGAGTTCCCTAATGTTGCATATATTTCCAGAATGCTTTTGTATTTTGTCGTTATTTGTCACATGAAATGGTGGATAAATAATATTCCCCACTCCTAAATTGTAGGCTGTCAAAACATGAGATATACAATACCTGAAAACGAATGCTCAGGCTGATACACCTGAGTTCAAATTGTGTATCCACTGGATCCCTAAATGATTATTAGGATTTATCCATGTTGCATAAATTATACATGCATAGTCCACTAAGTGCAAGGTATTTCCACCATTCTGGAATAAATGAGATTTTACCGTTCTGTTTATACCTGTCTTAGAAAAGATTAATTACTGGTTCTCATGAAAGTTATATCCAATTCCACCAAGTATTTGTAAGACAATAAAGAACTAGGAAGGACAAAATTGGATGCCATTTTCCAGCATTCAGCTGTGAATTTATAGCCGTCAAAGCTGTATTGCAACAGAGCAACACCCTTGTGAAAATTTCATTTCGGTATGTTAAGTCGAGAATCAATTACATAGGAAAAGGTGCAGTTTTCAAGTGCCTCTTTGTGGAACAGTCTTCTTGTTCTAAATTAAACTGCTCAGAGATAAGGCAGCATCCAGATGGCTTCCTCTGTGGCTGGTTTAGCACTGTAGCGCTAAATCAGAAAAAAAAGGGAAAGGCATTTCAGGAAAGAGGTGCCAACTATCTTTTGTCAAACTCTTTGCACTTATTCTTTTGGACTGAGTAGCCCTTGGTAGTTCACCAAGGTATCAAACATTGGTTGGCACAGTGAACAGCACACCTAACAAATGAAAAGAAAAACCCTTTATCTACAGTGCACACATACATCATTTAGTGATAGGTGATGAACAAGTCCCCCTCAGTTTAACTCATAATCACTTCATTATTTACAAGCTTTGTCTGCCATCTTTCAGAAAAATCTTATCTGTTTTCCAAGAGTGCCCCCACCACACGAACACACATTTTTCAGTTGTTCCCCCTCCTTTAATCTGCCCTAGAGAGCTACTTGGAAGAAGGCTCCCCCTACCCAAAATGCACCCAGGAGCCAATAAATGTTTTACGTGTGAATGGAGAAACACTAATCACATAAAACATTTGGAAGAACTGGGTCGAAAAGAGATGCTCTTTTGAAAACAAAAAGCTGCCTAGCCAGGTGATCCAATCATATGGTTCACGGGAAACAAGACAGATTTCATTGAGCGTTAAGAGGCCAAACAATATTGACACGTTCACCTACAAAGTGTGGGGTCTAGTCTGCACAGAATCACAGAGCAGAACGTTTGGGAGAAACGATGCTTCAGTTATATTGCACCTGCGCTTTACGGGATGGTCAGGCAATTATTGCAAATTTACTAATATTACTCATTGGGACTTTTACCATTTTCACTGCCAGAGAATGGTAGGAGCTAAAGAGGACGCGGGTGGCGCTGTGGGTTAAACCACAGAGCCTAGGACTTGCTGATCAGAAGGTCGGCGGTTTAAATCCCCACCACGGAGTGAGCTCCCGTTGCTCAGTCCCTGTTCCTGCCAACCTAGCAGTTCGAAAGCAGATCAGAGTGCAAGTAGATAAATAGGTACCGCTCCGGCGTGGAAGGTAAACGTCGTTTCCATGCGCTACTCTGGTTCGCCAGAAGCGGCTTAGTCATGCTGGCCGCATGACCTGGAAGCTGTACGCCGGCTCCCTCGGCCAATAAAGCAAGATGAGCACCGCAACCCTAGAGTCGGTCATGACTGGACCTAATGGTCAGGGGTCCCTTTACCTTTACCTTTAAAGAACTGCAAGTTGCTAAAGTAAGGAGAATGCTCTGTCACAGGTTGCTAAACCATCCTCAGGCGACTCGTAAGGAAGAATGAATT